ACAGCATGTATATATTGTATAAATATTGTTGTTATTTTTCCTCTCCTTTCAATACTATACAACCACTGTTGCTAGCACACAAACTCTCAGAACTCCAGATTAAACAGTAACTTGATAAGATGGGTTCTAGACTTAAGAAGCAGGTCTCAACAAGTGAAAATGGTTATCTGATATTTGTACAATTCTACTGGATGACCACAGGGCTGTGTCTTGTCCCCCCTGTAGTACATTTTGGACACTAACAATTGTAAGAGCAAACTCTGACAGATATATCATTAAGGTTGTGGGTGACACAGCCCTGGGCAGCTTTTTAAAAGACCTAGAAAATCATCACGGGCCCATTCGAAACAATTTTTCTAAAAGGTGCGATAGTTCTCTTTGATGTTAAAAACAAATGAACTGATAATTATTTTCAGGAACAAATGCAACACCTCTCCAACCTACAGCAATTAATGATCGAACTGTTGGCTGTCAATGACAGCAAGTAGTTGGGACTGGTTATAGACAAAAACCTGAAACCTGAGATGGGACAAATGTTGTCACACCAAAAAATGACTTTATTTTTCTCCTTAAAAAATTCTAGTTTTTGTAAGAGTTATTTGAACTCTTTTCTACAAGTATTTTATTGAAAGTGTTTTAACATACTGTCTCACCTGTTAGTTTGGTTACATCAGTACTGTTTGTAATTGTAATAGATTTGGAAAATTAATAAAGTTAAATGGCTTAAATGACCTTTACACACAGAGGGCTGTAAAGAAGGCTAGGAACATAATGGGAGGTCACCCTCTCCACTGTGAAGTTACACTAATCTCATTTGACACACATTGCTGTGTCCTCAGGTGTAAAAGAAACAGACTCCGGAAATATTTAATCTACTCAACAATCTCACTTTCAAATAATGTAAAGCAACACTCATCTCTTGTAACACTGTTGTACTGTCTTCTATGCTGGTAATGTTTGCCTGTCCTTTTTGTAGTGTTCCATTAGACTGTGCTCCCAGGGGATAATAAAGTTTCAATCGAATTATTAAGCTTGCTTTATTTACGTTTTCATTCAATCCAGCTAGCAATAGTCAGTTAACAAATGGCATGAGCTGGATGTGTAGCACGGTTTCAGAAAATTCAACCGTTAGGAGTCAGCAATAATTAAAACAAAAACGATCAAAAGCCCTGCGAGACCTCTGCTGTGAACCCGGACAACGCCTTTCTTTGCTGAACAACAATGAAGAAAATCCAAGAAGCTGTCAAAACTGTCCAGTGCAATAATACGAAAGCTTGCGTGAGTGGAAAATTAAATTGCTGGAATACAAAACGCACCTTGAAGCAGCGCGGGCGGACTTGGCTCCAGCCCGCACCCTCGACAAAGCGTGTTCACGCAAGCAGTCTTCTCGGTCTACAGTTCCCTTATCCACCTAACACCAACCCCTAGAGGTTTATTTGTGTCACACAGTATTATTAATAACTTATTTATTGACACTTAGTTTTTTGCCCAAGGGAATGTATTCAGTTTCGGCGCTATTTTGCTTGCCAGAGAAGACTACCAAACGCCGACAAAACGCCACGTACTGTATCGCCTGCCTTGAATGCACTCGCACTGATATTCTTAAAGTTCTCCACAATTCAATTGTAGTAAGAGATACGGCGTAAGAAATACGTGGATGTGCAATAATAAAACAAGAACATAAATACAGATCTTTCGAAAAATTTGTAAGAAAGAAAATGACTTTAATTGTGGTTTACTACTTCTGGTCCTCTTAAAAAAATCATAATATCTATAAAATAAATTAAAATCCAGATATTTTACACAGTTCGCAGCATACCTAAGAACAACAAAGGCTACAAGTATTGTTATGTATTCTGTGGAAGTTTTCATCTTCTTTTACATCTACACAACTGTGGGTGGCATGGTGGCACAGTAGTTCAGGTGGGTAGCTGCGTCAGCATGCGTAGTCTGCAAAGGAACAAGTAATAGGTTTATTCCATACTGAAAAGAAAAGAGAGAAAACACAACGTTTCTGCAACAGCCGAAACGTTGTGTTTTCTCTCTTCTCTTTTCAGCATGGAATAAACCTATTGTGGCACAGTGCTTAGTATTGCTGCCTCACAGCACTGAGGCCCTGGGCTCAATTCCTGGGGTGCTATCTGTGTGGAGATTGTGTGTTTTTGCTTCATTCACGTGTGTGTGCTGCAGGTGCTCCTGTTTCTTCCCACAGTCCAAAGACATACTGTTAGACTGGCTGCCTTCTGGGAAAACTGGCCCTGCTGTGAGAGTGTGTGTCTGGGTGTGCTCTATGATGCCATCCCAACCAGGGTGTATCCTGCCTTGTGCCCATTGCTTCCTGGGATAGGCTCCGGCTCCCCTGTGACTTTTGAATTGGATGAAGCGGTTGGAAAATAGACGGATGGATATATCTGTGAAAGAGTTGTTCTGATTATGTCATTACTGTCTCCAGTCTGCCACAGCTTCACTGGTCATGTTTATCAAACTCATCCTTATATTCTCTCTTTCCTTAAGTATTTAAGTATCATAGCCTGACAAGACATTGCCCATTTCTGCTTGAGGAGTTATATGGGACACGCAACTGTAAGCAGAATATTGTGGTTGTGTTTCCGGTCTTCTGTTCCACTAAACAAAACAGCCCTACCACTGCCTTGTCCTGAAATTCATACTAATGAGAAAACATGTGATAGATTCCTGATTGAAGACAGAGAACAGAATAGCCGAAATACAAAAAATAGTAATGAAATGAAGGAAAGGTAGAGAATTAAAACAGGGGCAGGGAGCTAGGTACTTTTCACCTTAATTCTGGTGTTAGTGTCTCCATGATTCATTGTCTTGAAACTTTCTATAGGTCTGCAGTTTCGAAGTGTTTAGGAATCTTATTATAACATGTCATTTTATAGGTAGGATCATACCTTGCATGCTCCCTTTCCAAATAGTCCACATTGAGGAAAGTAGACAGGGAAATAAATGTATTCATGCATTTCTTGTCACTTATGAATCATCAACTCTAATTCTTATCTAAGTGGTTACCAGTACACATCCACTATCAGGCGGCCACTCATTCCTGGAAAGAGTCAGGCCACCTGGAGCTGATCCCAGAAGCACTGCGGGCGAGGGGTGTGACCACCCAGCAGGGCTTCCAGTCCATCGAAGAGCGAGCACACACAAACAGGGACAATACAGAAACACCCCTTCAACAAGCCAGCATGTCTTTGTAAGGTGGAAAGAAACAGGATCCTCTAGAGACAGTCCACACGAACTTGGGGGCAATGGGGATAATGGGGAAAACGTTCGCACAGGAAACGCCCCAGTCTGGAAAGAAACCTGGGAGCTGAGGAGCAGCAGCACCAGCCACCAAGACGCTGTGCTGAACGGCATCAGTAGACATCCTGGCTGTGCCGTCAGTTTCCTTTAGAACACTGTGAGCGTGAAGGCGCAGGGCACCTCACTTCACTAGAAAAGAGCAAACTCATAAACTTGTGCCATCTGAGGATCATCACAGGGTGTTCTCTTCCGTGCCTGAGCTCCACCACAGTTCTGTATGTGGAGAGAGGTCACGAAGAGTAGCGTGCATGCCACAACGCGTGGCACCAGGCCTCACCACCGCACACAGCAGGAAGCGGTTTGGGGCGAGCCCGACGCGACATGGCATGGCAGTGTCTCTCTACAACCTGCCCGTTTGGGTGCCCTGGCACCCGGGGCTCTTTCAAAAGAAAATATACAATCAGGCACTTTGCTAAGTCCACTGTACCACCAGTGTTTATTAAACGTGCGTTCCTCACCTCTTATTAGTGAAGCTCCGATGTGCGTTACTGTAACTGACACGCGGTTACTTCCAAGGAAAAGTTGATCTGAAAGCTGCAGCCTATCAGCTCGGGCTGTGTTCCACTGATGTTAATGCAAACTAGATTTTTATGCATTTTTTAAACAACCACCAATAATAGAAAATACCCCTTTTGAATTGTGTTTTTATTGGCTCTTATGCTCTAAACCCATCATACTTGATCTCGGTGTGTTATGGAAAGTACAGTAGGTAAGGCAGCAGCTCACATGGGCCCAGCAACTGTGGTCACAGCTGCAGGAGGCTCACATGGGCATAGGTACACAGAGGTAGTTGGTTAAAGTGCAGCCACACACAGAGCAAATGCAGCTATACCTTCTTCTGAAATGTCTCTCAGAGCACGCACATAAGGAATGCTAGCAGCTGTGGTTTATCACAAGAACATCTCTGAAACAGACATCTGCCTTCCATTCTATTTCCTCAGCTAATGTGGGCCATGCACCAGCACGCAGGGCTGTACGTGTCTACCAACATCAACCTAACCACTAACTTTTACAGATACGCACACTGAACATCTTGCTTTCTATTTGATATCATTTGGGTCTTGCGAAGCATGGAATGTGATTTGAGATACACTGTTATATAAGGAAGACGTTTGTAAACAACCGCACTATTTGTTTTTCGACTTAGTACTGAACTTTGTAAAGCTCTTCGAAGTAAAGAATTATTCTTTAAGGCCTGTAAGTCTTCTTCTCACCATATAAAATTTCACACTCCTGTATTATTTTCAAGCAATTCAAGCGAAATACCACATTGATTTATCAGCTAATCAGCAGAAGAGCTTTGAGACAAGGGTTTATATTAGCACTTTCTTTTTTTCCTGAATCTAAACCCAGGCAGAATTAAACCCAAAATATTCTGTGCTCTAGAGGTTTACATTGCCTTTGGTCTTCAGGAGCACTATCTCATAAAATTTGGATACCATAACATTTTGCTAGCAAAATTATTTATGATCTTTCTTTTGCCTAACACCCTTTGTGACATTATACAGTATTACTGTTGAGAAGTAGTCAAGCTCAGTCCATATACAGTACGTTTATGCATTTTTGTATGAATGTCAAATTACACTGGGGGAATAATAAAGGAAGTTGCGTTACACACATAAATACATCGACAGTGACCTCAGCTGGACAGTAAGGACACTTCAGCCATGAAAAACAGTTTGGCAGAAATCAATTTAATTTCAAAATCTAAAGAGATATCCCAAACAGTTTACCATAAAATCCATCCAACAATGCATGAAAGGAAGAATATAATGTACTCAGTTTTTGCTAAAAATCAATCAGATTAACCTCTATGTATGACACAATCCCCCATTTGTTCTACAATTAAATATTTCATAGTATACCCAATCTATCTGTGTCTCTTTTTTAGATAAAAAAATCACAACAGTTGATTGGCTAATATGTTCTTGGTTAATATGTTAAAACTGTATCACATTATCTTTTCAAAGTAGCATATGTTATTTGTTTTTGATTTCATGCTTATTTTCTCCCTGGACATGGGTCTTTATGTCACATCTTTCTGTGTGACCAGAATTCATCTGGAGATTTTTTTATCCCTGACTCTATGGTTTGACAAACCAACAAAAAACAAAAGAGGTAGCTTATTGTCTAAAATACAAAACAGAGAGAAGGATCTGACACCTAAAAAATAACAAACAAGAATAATAACATATTTCCTTTAGTCCTTGTGTATGATGGCTTTCACACATTCCTTCCAAGTCTTTGTGATGAAGGAAATTTCCATAAAGACACTGCATGAGGTTCCCCACAAAACATACAAGCAACTCTGGCTCCCTCTGCTGTCCATATGGTGTCACTGCATTTGGAAATAACAAAAACAGCATTTTTTTCAGTAAAGAAAGATGTAAATAAAAACCACGCCTTTATTTTCAGCCAGACCACAGAAAGAGGTGATAACCTAGTTGTCACAAGGAGACAAACATCTAAGTATTATACACAAATTGCTTTACAGCAGTCACTTTTGTTTTCAAAAACATCTGTACAGAATTCTGTACATTAACAGAATGATCATGCAGTTCACGCATAACATTATATGGATTGTGTGATCTTTTAAAATTTGGTGTACCTCAAAAGATAAACTTTTAATATTTAGAAAATACAGATTTTATTGTGGAATTGCTTTTAAATTTTTTCCACAGCAGAACAGGTATGAAAATAAATAAAGGTATATTTGACTCAAATAGTTAGTGTCACGCCCTCTGCAGCCAGAGGGCGCTCCTTCTCTGTCCTGTCCCTAGTTTCCGGTCTGCTGTCCTTCCTGTCCCTCTCTTTCCCTTGGGCTATATATTTCCGGGTCTTGCACTCTGTCCTCGCTCAGCATTGACGTTCGGATGTCCTGAGACCCGCCTACCACCAGGGCGCCCCACGTCCGCTCCCTGAGGGCATAGGTTTCTATACGGCATTCCTGAACTCTTTGCACTAATGAGCCCGGGCCTTTTTCCCGTCTCGCCGCTACGCATATGGGTCTTTTCCGCTCTCCTGCTCCCCACGGTTAGTCCCTTTGGACGTCCGTGACAGTTAGTATACATAATATCAGATACAAGTATTACATAAGCAGAGTTTATTAAATAAAGCATGATTGTCATCTAATAATTGTATACATTGGCTGAATTGAAAAACATTCCTCAGTTTCTAAAAATTATAATATGTGTACTTTACAAATGGTTAACCATCAATCTATAATGGACATAACTAATTGTGAAGAGTCAGATTAGATAAAGTATTTTGTATAATTTGATAACAGCAACTTTAATGTAGTATATTAAATGTAAAGTCCTTGAAATGGTGGTTTACCTTAAAACAATGTTAGAGAATTAGTGACTTACCCGCCTGAACCAGGTCACCATCTAAAACTGCTTAAAGTTAGTGATTACATGTTTCTGGGTGGTAGGACTTAAGGTCCAGATATGGACATTGATGCTTTTTGTACAAATGTTGAAAGAACAATCCCCATTAGAAACCTGTTGCAATAAGATCCACCAACTCTTCCAAGAACAAGCAGACACTTTCTTATATTAAAAACAGGATTTTATTCAAAACCTCCACAGCACTTCAGCACTGCTAAACTGATCGATTCCGACACCTTTACCTTCAAAAATCAGATAGACAATTACTAAGCTTTACCAACTTTAGGCCCATAAAGTAAAAAGTGCTCCTTACCTTACCAGCGAAGCAGTGGCTTGGTTACTCCTTAATCGATAAAAACCCAATCTGCGTCCCAAAGTTGTTTCCATCGCGAACGTGAGAGAAAAACTTGTCGGGGTGACAAGACGTACACAGGGTCAGGTTCTCTCTGCTTTCGGACACAGTGTTGTCTTGGATATTGTGAGGTAGGACTCCACCGCGCTCTAGAAGAACCCTAAGCAGAATGACAGGGGCTGTTGTAAATAGCTGATCAATCCATTTTGTAACCGTTTCATCCTTTACACGGTAGTGGGGGAGCCGGAGCCTGTCCTGGCAATCAACAGGCACAAGGGGGGATACACCCTGGGTGGGATGCCAGTCCACTGCAGGCAGACACAGACATACTCTGACCAGAAGCCGATTAACCTACCGCCAGGGCTTTGGACTAAGGGAAGAAATCAATGTGAACACAGGGGGAACATACAAACTCCACGCAGACAGCACCCCAGGTCCAGAATTGACCCCAGGGCCCCAGGACTGTAATGTAGCAATGCTAATCACTACACCACTGTACCTCTTCTTTTGACCTTCAAGTAGGAAAGTACAGTAGGTGTCACAACATAGTTTGGTCAATTGGTAAGACTAATATTTTAGTCTTTTACAACAAATAAAAGCAATGGCAATTGAACAGTGAACAGTATTGTTTCCACTGAATGTTGAACATACAAGAATTTTTCATCAGCTCTGAAAGAGATATGTAAGAACCCAATAGAAAATCCTGTGCTGTTTCAGCTTAGTTGCAGTACAAATTCTGCTGAAGTTGAGCAAAGGGCATTTTTTAACTGTACTCTGCCGGGACAGGTGCTGTTCTGTTGAGCTACAATGGTAAAAGACAGTAAATCACTACAGAAAATAAACTGAGTACGCTCAACTGGTAACAGACGATGAAAAAACACCTGCAGGAAAACCTGAGCCGCCCAAGAACGGAGTGCTTGATGTTAACGCACTTACCTCGTGGCTAACCGGATGTCAATAAAGGGTCTAGCCGAGCTCCTATCCTTGACACAGTCCGGGTGGATAGTTTGGAACGCCTGAGCCGATTCCTGATCCAGTGTGAAACAGCAAGATCCGACTGAAGGGCCAACAATGACCACAATGTTTCTGACATCACTGCCATACTCAGAGACCATAGCATTGACTGTAGCCATTGCAATGCCCATTAGGGTACCTCTCCACCCTGGAACACAAGATCGAAAAGAGCTCATTTACACATAACACCTGATTCCCAAGCCCAGCACTGTGTGAAGATTGAACTGCAGCACTCAACTCTGCACTTCTCTAATGTTCCACCACCAAAATATCCTTCACAGCTCATTTCAAAACAAGCACTTTTTATATACAAATAACATTTTTTGGATAAAGGAATGAAATTGAAGTCCCAGCTTTGATGGAAGGGCACCAAGAGTCAATGCAGGCTTGGGGGAGATCGTCTCATTTGGACTTGAAACGTTTACTTCTGGACCAGAAATCTGGAAGCAACAAATGGCCAAGAACACTGATGACGTGCGTTTTAACCGTCTCCTAAATAAGAAAAGATGTGTCACTTCATTCAGCAGCCATATCACCCTGCAACTCACAACTGGTAGCCCACTGAAGTTCAGCAGGTGTGAACCTGGTCAGTACCTGGATGGGAGACCTCCTGGGAAAAACTAAGGTTACTGCTGGAAGAGGTGTTAGTGGGGCCACCAGGGGGTGCTCACCCTGCGGTCCATGTGGGTCCTAATGCCTCAGTATAGTGACGGGGACACTATACTGTAAACAGGCGCCATCCTTCGGATGAGACGTAAAACTGCGGTCCTGACTCTCTGTGGTCATTAAAAATCTCAGGGTGTTTCTTGAAAAGAGAAGGGGTGTAACCCTGGCGTCCTGGCCAAATTTCCCATTCCCCTTACCAATCTTGGCCTTCCAATAATCCCCATCTATGATTTGGCTTCATTACTCTGCTCTCCTCCCCACTGATGTGTGGTGAGTGTACTGGGTCACTATGGCTGCCATCGCATCATCCAGGTGGATGCTGCACATAGGTGGTGGTGGAGGGGAGTCCCCATTACCTGTAAAGCGCTTTGAGTGGAGTGTCCAGAAAAGCGCTATATAAGTGTAAGCAATTATTATTATTATCATTATTTCTTGCAGGTGAGCTTTTGTCACCTTTGCTGCTCAGTATCTCCCAAGAGCCCAGTTCCTTGCACTTGAAGTGCAGATCTCTTTGCGGCTGTTCTTGATAAAAACTGGCACCGGTGCAGAAGTTCTCCAAGCGTCACGCACGGTTTAAAAGAGCTCTGTCACTTCCACTTTGGAACTTCCACTCGGCCACATTCTCTTTCAGTTTCCCTTCATTGCCTTTTATTGCTGCCATGTGTCAAAGATTTGAATTCTCCCATGACTTTTTTTTTAAAAATTACATAAGAGAGGGAACATTCTCTTTGGGGAAGCATGCTGACATTCAGCGAGGGTCAACACAAAAGAGGTAAAAAACAGGCAGCCTTTGCTACCCGGATACGAGTAAAACCCAGCCGTGATTTCAGAAACCACCAGAGATGGAAAAGAAAATAGCTCCATTTAGATTGCATTTAGCCTAGGCCTGTTCCAGCTGTAATGTTAGTGAGTGTGACCGCACTGGTTACCTGAATGGGCCACTCCTATAGCCTTTTTAACAGGGTCGGTGAAGAGCAGGGGTATACAGTCCGCTCCTGGGGCTGCAATGACCACCCCTGCCTGATTGGTCACGATCCCATCATAGCTTGGTGGCTCACTCCTTCCCATCACCCACACATCATTGGCGTGATTCACCTGTTCAGCACCGGAAAAACCCAGCAGTCAGCATTACAGCTTCTTGGTTTAAAAAGATATGAGGAGTGAATTCCAGAAGCCTACCTGTTTGTCTGCATTTTGCTCGGGTATTCGACAGCGCAATTACCATTTGTTTTTTTCTGAAGTAGCGATCAACCCACTATTAAATTATATTTGACCAATGTCAACATTCAACAAAGGCCTTTAATTCAAATGTGGAACCTGTAACCCCTTTCTGATTTCACTTGAAGATGCGTATTTCAGTTACAACATTAACAGTAGGCATTTCAGAGGCAACCACATTTCAAGAAAGCCTGATGACTAATATCAAAACTTTATCTGTAGTTATGGTGACCAAATATTTATTTCCCATTTACAAAGTCTTTCACAGTGAGTTACCACATTTTAACTACTGTGTTCATTCACATCATCCTTATTCCTTATGAACCCTGACATCTATCAATACTGATGCAACAATATTCATTTTTCAAGTCCTGCATATTCTTATAAGACTAAAATGCTTCTTCAATGGCACAGTTCAGTTTATTCTAATGGTTACAGTATAGTTTCTATTTTACCGAACAACAAAATTCACTCCAATTAGGCACTCCAAATTTCTCAGGCAACATAAAAGTGATATGGAAAGAGAGGTCTGTGCGTTTACCTTTAACAAATGGAACCTCTCCTGCTCAAATCCGGCCTGAGAGGCTAGACGACGCAGGTTTTCAGCGACCACCACTTTGGGATCTCTGCGTCTAGGATTGCAGTAGAGGTTAAGAGAGCTCAGGGTGTCTATGTATGAAATCCCACCCGTCCTTGTGGTGAAGCCATGTAGGAAAAAGTCTCCTGTAGCACAAAAAATATGTATTTCTATTGTATTTGGAAAACTGAACAGTTTTCAGCAGGATCAGTATGGGTTTAACATGGTTCTGTTTGATTCAAATGCATGTACGTCACAGGGATAATATTTGCATTGTGATATTAAGAAAGAACTATATTAAAAGGTATCCAGATTCTAATTTTTCACCACCTTGCCCAGAAAGGTAGCATTTTGTTTTGAATGTCTTCAGAATACAAAAGTTTCTTTACATCTTATCAAGTCCAGATATATTTTTCCAGAGTAGGAGTACTGTTTCGCCACCCATCATCTTTTCCCCAACACTCCTGAGGTCTGTTCTTTAGCTACCAGCACCGTTTACAATCACTTCCCATCATCATTTCAGTCACAGCAAGTGGAAAAGAAACGATCCTGCTTCCGTAATGGCTGTAAGTAACTACACATGGATGAAGCCAAAGGATAACAAGACACATAAAACATTAGAGAACAAGCACACCTGCAGCACCTACTGTACCTGAGATCAGCGAAGACCGCAGGATGGTAATGTCACCTTTCAGGCCAGGTAACTGCCTGAGAAAGGCGCTGACCTCATCTCCGACGTGTTTCAGCTGCCTGGCGGTGAGGGGAGTCTCAGGCCCACAGGTTGCAATGGGATCACCGACTGAACAATGAGATTCATCACATGCAACGTCGTATTCCAAGACGTAGGCTGCTGTAAACAGGAGATCCAGATAGGCTTGCCATGCTGCTTTTCTCTGCAGGGATGTGATTATTAGAATGCTACTGAGGTTACGGTCATCTATAGCTTGCTTAACGGAGTACAAGGAGGCTGCCAGACATGGGTGACTGACGATCTGAGCACCTTCCTCAAGGCTGCTGAAGTTCTCCAATAATCCGTCGACGGAGGTTTTACAGCTGTGATCTGGAGACGATGGTTTATTTTGGTTCGGCAGCAGATATACATGTTTATTTTTTTCGGGGCCTGGGGTTCCGATCAGTACTGATGCCCTTTTGAGACGCTTCTCTATGCAGTCTTTATACTGAAGACAATGATCGTGGAAAAGATCAATAATCACCGCCCCAACCATACTTCACCTGTAAGGACAAACATCAGAAACAAATAATTTCAAGTATGCTTCAACCCTATTTTAATAATTAAAAATGAGAATTAAGTTAGGATTTTTATACGCTTTACTAAATCCGAATATATCCTTATACATTTTGTGAAATATGATTAAGACAAATGAAAACGCTGAAAAATACGCACACTTACGTATTATCCAGGAGAAATTTAACTTGCCAAAAGATATGGCAAATGTGCTATGACGACTTAAAGATGCAACTATACGAACATGTATATTATAAGGGTTTGAAATTCCGCGGCCTCATTTTTTAGCATGCGAGAAAAAAATATGGGGTTTAAAATGTTGGAATAGAGTTCCATAAATAGATCTCGTTAATGAGCATATCTGAAAAAGTACTTCTTCATCCTTAAGGGTTATGTTAACACTTTGAAGGGTCCAGCTTCAGGCGATCTCACCCACCACCAGCAAGAATCAACTTCAGCGGGATTTAACTTTTACTCTTTAGCCTGCCCTCTTGCATTATAAACCCGGCCTTACCCTGTCTGCGTACACTATCTACCACACTGCTTTTATTTTATTTTTCTTAAACATGTACATGAATGCAAAAAAAAACCCTTAACAAAAGAACAGCTTTGCAGCTTTCCGCTCTACTGAAAAAAGAAACATTTGCGACAACCGCAGTTTCAGTTTTGCTTTCACTTTACGTTTGAAAGGACTTACTGTACAAGCTCCTTCCAGTTCAATCCTGGCTTCAGGGCTGCAGATCACTGTGCTCTCTGCGTCCGGTTGACACCCGTCAGCTCGTCCTAACGCCACTCACCTCCGATCTTCTGGTGTAAAGATTCAGCTGAACGAAAACAATTACTTTCATAGGCTTTACCGAAAAGCGGTCAACCTAAATCAAGTGTCTCAGTGTTCCCTTGTCTCCCTTGAAGAGGCAAAAGGAGGCTGTTGCACAGTGATGATGTTCAAGTCTTGAAAGGTAAGTGCCTGTCAGGTAAGTACACTGTTCATACTCAGCAGCAGTTTCCTGAAGTTTATTTCCTGTCGGCAGTAGAGTCAGTAACGATAGTAACAACTAGGGGAATTCCCGTGTGTTAGATAACTCGGCAGTCACATGTCCAAAAGATTACAGAAAGCTGATATTTCCGCGTGTCTGAACTAAGCGTGAGGGGTTATAAGGTTGCATCAGAAAGCAAATGCGCCGATATAACCCACAAAAAGCAAACTTACATAGCAGGTTAAATCGCGATATTTTATTTCCAGCAGTTGCTTACATGATGAAATGCAACACTAACTCAATAGGGATTTGTAAATTCGAGTTGCCATTCGATCGCGCTCAAGAGATGCTTCGTTTTTGCAATCTGACCGTGAATTTCACGTTCACATAGGCGACTTTGAATACGTGTCTTCGAAACTGTGTATCCGAAGACGCCCTTTTTTCTCAACTGCTTTTGTCTTTGAATTTATGGTTGCTTTTTGAACGACTTATATCAAATCCCGAAGGAATACCTAAGAAATATGAATAAATGTGACTGTTTTCCGTAATTCAGTTACGGATTTAAGACAAATTATCCAATTAATTCCCTTAGCAATGGTGTTACAGTATAAAATCCTTAGAATGTTTTTATAGAGTCTTTATTCAAACTGTAACTCAGTCTGTCATGTGTGGTTCCATATGAATAAATATGGAGATATTGGATATTCACCTGAAATGAAATGATGTTTTCTTATGTGCTGCGATTAAAATATATTTTATATGAAAACTTTGGTCATTTATCTCTATTTAATTTGCAATGTTTTTGTATTGGAAACTCCATTATTTAAATGTTGTAGTTGATACAGTCTAATCTACTAAGTATTGGGTTTGGTAACAGTAAAATCAAGACTTTCTGCACTCTTAACAATTTTAGCTTTGTTTCTGAATTATTCTGAACTAGATTAACTTTAATATCCAATTGTCTGGACCTATAATAATTACTCCTTCTAATATCTAGTAGGAATTACACATCTAACTCCTTCCAGTGGATGGAATCCTATAATTTTTAATGTTAGTCATATTATTCCTTCATTACTGTTGTTGATTTGAGTGTGTTGGCTCTGTGAGACCTAGGCCATAGCTCTAATTGCCCACATCTAAAACATTCAATTTCTTACTTTTTTATAACATACCAAGAGGCATTAAAATACAATATGTGAGTACTGGAACCAACATTTATTGTGTTTGTAAATGCATTGCAGTATACAATGAAAAGGTTCTCAAAGTCCTGTATGCAATGCTGTGGCCTATAAAAGTACAATTCCTTTTTACAGTATTAATGCATTGGTCACAAATAAAAAGTATTCCAAGAAAAACTTGCAACTAGTGTCCTCAATAAAAAAAAAATCAGACAATTGTTTATACTGGATGTTTGAGGAAATATTATATACATATTTTTATTAAAATATTGAAGTTTCTTAGGATTCTGACTGCTTATTTAGCTTGTATTGGTTTACTTAAAAGTGGAATTGAATATTGTTGGTCAAACACTGAATGAACATTTTCAGAACTTCATTATTTATAAACACCTAAAACATTAACTGACTTCTTACAAAATATTTGTATATTTTTGCTGATACGTGTTTGGGTTTGTTGGTGCTTGTGTGGTTAGCAAAAAAGTAACATACTGTACATATTACAGTTGCATATAGTAATTGCCATATGCAATCAAAATGATAGATTTGACCTTTAGATTTATTTTTAAAATGTTTGACTTTATGGATTTAGATAAGATTTCAGTTTGTATTTTTTTGTCAGTGTAAATATTTTGATGTTCTGTTTTACAACAAATTGCTCCATAAAAGTGAACTGTAGTCACAGTTATTCAATCTGTTGCTGGAAGACATTTTCTGAGATCTTCTGCTTTTTTCTTCATCTGAAGTATATCTGCGTTCATTTGCCTTTTGTCAGACTGGGCTTTCTTCAACTGACAATGGAGACGCTTAAGAATTGCTTCACACCTCCTGTTTTCAATCTGTGAGTAAAGGAAATACAGACTATGTGATCAGTTATTGTAAAAAAGTGTGTCATTTTCCAAGACATAAAAGTAGCTTTTTATTGCACATTGTAGCTGTTTCCAGACACCTGCCATTCTTCAAACTGTGAATCCTGCAGTCCCAACAGTAGAATTGTGTGAAGGGGAAGAGTTACTCATCTCTCACTGATAAAACTAAAAACTGACAAGTACAAAACAAATAACAGAGACTCTCTCCGTAGTTAAACAAAGGAAACCTGGTAACTGAACCCCACCCAGTTATGCTGGTATATGAAAATATGTGTAGCACTTCTTGGGGAATCCTATTCACAGCAGCTGAATTACAAAGCCCAGACTCGTATTGGTGCTGTCTGCGCCATAGAAATTAATTGAAACATTCATATTAATCCCTGCAATGGCTGAGCTTCTCAAAATCCCATCAATGGGATTCTTTTTCTATATCTGCTATTACCTTGTAATGTCTGCACAGTGAGATGGAATTACTAAATTAAATAAAGGATCAATCTGATTTATACATTTTGGAGCTCTTGAACAGTTTCAACATTGATTAATCTCGACTTGCTGAAAAATGGCAGTTTCTTAAAAGGCTTAATATGTTAATTAAAAATAGCATTCATGAACAACAGCCAAATTATTGCAATACAGGACAGAGACATATCTATTTTGTTCCTACTAAGTTTTTCCTCTGTTGTAAATGGTTTATTCAAAATAAATAGAGCTTTATAAAGATCTGGGCCTCATATTTTTCTGTCAAGGTGTGCAAACAATTTTCTTCAATTTTATTCTAACCTCATTTACTCATCTTTGTTTACTTGTATATATACCACCCCAAGATGTTTAATATGTTGTTGTAAATAAGGGGGTTGGGAATAATTCTATCAAATCTCACATCCTAACACCATCTTGTTATGGAAGCAAATGGGAGAAAATGTACAATAATTACACCCCCTTTAGTCAGGGAATACTGAGGAACATGTTGTGGGAGTTCTTAGTTTCTCCAGTTCAGCTTGATGAACCACCAATGGCCAAAGAAAGCAACATGCAGGACACACAGACAAACATACACTCAAACCAGGGCCAGTTTTTCTTGGAAGGCAGTGACACCACCAGTATGCCTTTGGATTGTGGGAGAAAAATGGAGCGCCCAGAGGAAACGCACATGAACACAGTAAGATCATACTAAAACTCCATGCTGATAGCACCCCAGGAACCCCCAAACCCAGAGCTTCAGAGCTGTGAGACAGCAATGCAGACTTCTGTGCCACTGTTCCGTCCATTTAAAATCAATTTAGCACAAAACATTACACATGTTTTTTACAGACATTTGCATTTCTGTGAGGTCTTAAACAGATACAGAAAACAGAACTCTCTGAAACTGAGACACAAAACACCTCACAAGGACAAAGTGGGAACCTGTGTGTTGTCAAATAAAGTTCGTGCCTTGGATCCCTCTCTCTAAACCCCTCTTAAAATGGATGTTAAGTGAAAGGAACTGTAGACCATTTCCCTATTGCAAACAATGCATTATTTAAACAATGAGAGATTTCACAATACAGGAAATAATACAGTGTTGCAATTTACATGTACAGACATTTACAATGCAAACATACAATACATAGATACATTTACAATACAAACATATTACAGGACAATTAAAAACATAAAACAAAAAATATTGAGAGACAGGCTCACTCTCTCTTCCTCAGGCTGTGATAAGAGATTGCATGCTGGGCTGCAGCTCTGTTGAATTCCCTCCCCCCTCCCCCAGTATGACAGGAAGTTGTATGGGAGTTCTGGGATTAGATTTGATATTTTAGGGGAAAATGTTTGCCTTATCCCAGAGTATTTCTCACAGTGCAGCAGAAACCGCATCTATGTCTCTGCTTCTCCCTGCAGGCAGTGGGAGCACAGTGTGTCCTCTCTGGTCAGCCAGGTCTGCCACAGGGCCCAGATACACTTGTTCCTTTGTGATTCCCATTTCTGATATCATTTCTACCCATTTAAGGTATTGCCGATGTATCCTGCCTAGTTCCTATGCCCAGCTCCCATGAACACTGGCTAAATAATCTCATCAAGAATAATCTGTTTTCTGTTTAATATTGGGGTTCTAAGAGAGCTGACTTAGTGATCTGACTCAAAATTAGTTCAGTCTGTTTACACATTTGTAGAATGTTAATTGTTCTAACCAATTTTTGTAGTTTTGATGTAAAATCCTAACACGTAGCTGCCCCTCCAAACCGCAACAATATAATTATACGGTGCTTATTTATGCTTGTATTTGAAAAAAAAACATTTATATTTTTATGTAATTATTTAATTTCATTTACAAAAACCAAAGATTATCTCATGCTTTGAAACATTGATATAAATGCATGGACGTACATCCCTAGAAAACAATATTAAATAAATGTTTCACAAAAAGTTGATGGTAATCTTACTTTTCTTATCAATTCATACATTCTGATTTTATTTTTAATGAAGTGTTCTGACCTCAATATCCATTTTTAGCTGTGCATGAATATCCTGTTCTTTCAACAACAGTGCAGTCTTGTCGCGGAAAGCATCCCTCATCTTAGAAATCTGTACCTTTATGTCATCAATTTCCCTCTGTTCAGAAACAAAAGTTGAAAACTTTTCTGCAGACTAAAAAGCAATTTGCATAAAAAGATGTACTGAATTTTTTACCACTTCTCAGTAAAAACGTACATCTTTCAAGAAACTATAAATAACCATAAAATGAAAAAACACCTACAATATAAACAAAATAAGTATTTCAGTATAATGTAATGCAGACAGGGCAGCTTTTATTAATATCATGGGTTTAAGACTAAACACTTCTGACTTCAAGGCCATTGGATGCAATGACTTTCATAGCATTTCTTCTAAGACTGCCTCTAATGAAGTACGGTATTCTTTAAACAGAGTGCTGGCACTGTGGCTAAGGATCTCCACCTGTGGCTGGAAGGTTGCCAGTTAAAATCCTGCAGCCGGCAGAGAAATCCTACTCCGTTGGGCCCCTGAGCAAGGCCCTTAACCCCAGCTGCTCCAGGGGCGCTGTATAAATGGCTGACCCTGCGCTCTGACCCCAAGCTTCTCTCCCTGTCTGTGTGTCTTATGGAGAGCAAGTTGGGGCATGCGAAAAGACAAATTCCTACTGCGAGAAATTGTATACGGCCAATAAAGTGATCTTATCTTGAGATGCATGTAATCTCTTTTCCTGATCTGATGTTTCATTCAAACAAAGAATTTGGAATTTAATTTTAGCGCTACCTGGATTTCCAAGTCAGCTCACCTGTGCTTGCCGGATTACAGTTCCGTCTGGTCTTTGGAGGTCAGTTCTCAGCTCCTCCATTTTCACTTTAAGCTTCCTAACCGAGTCGGCCTTCTCGCAGCGTTTCTTCTGTGCCGCGGCTCTCCCCTCCCTGCGAGAGACCACATCCCTGTGAGCTGCCATTTTATTCCGGTAAGTGTTGTACCCCGCCAGCAGCAGCTGGAAGTTTTCCTCTTCCTGCTCGATCTGGAGCCGTAGCTCCACGTTCTCCTTGTAGAGAGCTCTGGACTGGGCTTTCTCGCACTCTGACTGCTTCTGCAACGCTGCCATTTCGTGGACCAGCCTGAGGTTTTCCGTCTCGGCTGTGTGCAGCTCAAGTGAAACTGACTCGCTCTTCACTTCTAGTTCTGAAACTTGAATCTGAAAAGAGAAGACTGGGAATCAGTTGCTTAATAAAGCTTAGGCCTACTCTGTGAGTTCTTGCTTGTGTAATGCTGCACTCTTAAGTTTTATGAACATTTTCTAGATTTCCATCTTTTGATTAGTTGGCAGTGAAGGATTCCTCCCTCAATGTTAACACTGAGACTTGACATGTATACATAAACTTCATACAGTACTATTTTATCACTTATTTTTTGCCACAAATACCATTTCCACACAATACATATCAGTAAAGCTCTGTTTTCAGCATTTAGAGAAACACGCAACATTACTGATTATTTAAATCTTTAATGATCACCTTGAAGAGAGCCAAAAACTTCCTGTGTTCATTGATTTCATTAGTTTGCTTTTCCTCATGTTGAGACACCTTTTCAACTGCATCCTTCAGCGGGGAGTCTGGTAGTTCTGTTTCAGAATGCAAGTTTCATTAGCAATCCTAACATTTCTTGTATCTCCCTACGGAGAAGAAACTAACTGAAACTGCTACAAACAGAGGATGCTGGCACAATATTGAATATAATTCTACTTAGTTTTTATGATAAATGAGTTTAATTACAGGGAAACTTTTTTCTTACATCTGAGCTATCACGCATACTTTGTGTGCATGAAAGGTCAATTTATTATCATAAAGCTGTTAAATTTTTGGTAAGGTGACAACAATCCTGGCTCTAGGTCACAAGAAAGGAAAAAAAACTCCCAACAGTCCATCATAGGGTGCACAAATATAGGTGCATTTTAGAGATCCCAAATATCACAGTCAGCATAGCACGTTTGGCCACAGCAACTGGTGAAAATCCCAGATTTTCAGGTTTAACTCAAAACATCACACTGAAGGCCCCCTTAATTAGGAAACTTCAGGTCTCCATAGACGTTAGACAGCAGGGATAACAGCTATAGTACTTCTCCATAATGATTGATATGATTCTAATAATATTAGTATGTGACTAAAAAAATATCACTATTGAAGACAATTTGTGGCTACATATTTTACTGGAGAAGATTCGAGAAAACTGAAAGCTGCTACGTTTCTTATTAAAGTCACGTCAACTATCTCGCCAAAACAAATGATTGTAGATGTGAAGCATCATATATTATTGATAATGATAGACCCGGAGATGTCAACGACAAAACGAGTGAGGTCTACAAGAAAAAAAAGGGAAGACACGTTTCCAGGCTAGAGATTTGTGTTAGAAATTGCTTGCTGAGGAACACACGAAGCAGCTGAAAACGATTCACAGAGAAGCACGATTTGGTTTCGCTACCACTTTTATGTGGGAATCTAGCTTCACTTCCACCTGTTAGGCCACGTACTGTATCACACCAGTTACATTTACATATATATATATATTCTAATTTACCTTCCAGAGACTTTATTTGTTTCTGGTCCTGTTTATATTCACTGTTTTTTGTCGTCATAACGTAGAAAAACCTGAAGCCCAAAACTTCAAGCGCGAGCGACTTCAGCGGAAGTTTTCAATTCAAACGGAAGAGTTTGGTTGTAATTGTTACTTTATGAGCGGATTACTAAATACTCCACGTTTTATAGAATTAAAGAAGATGAGCAGAAGTATATAGACCTTATTAATAATCGATTGAGCATCTCATTAAAACAGTTAAAAAACTATTTTTAAACTATTTTAGAGCCCAGTTTTATACATAGCAAATCGAAAACGCATCTTTTACGTCTATGAAACAACAGTATACCCAATACGTGGCACACTATATGGAGTTTATGGCGATCGAATAAATGTATAATTGTACATGGAAATTACTTGTCTTTTTCATCCACTATTATTATAATGCACAAAATCTACTTCTACAACTAAACTACTAAAATATTTACTTCTGTCGGTTTATGAGGTTTACTGCAATGTAAATTTTACAGCTGTAATATCATTAATATCATATCATAGCAAATCTGCTGCCTTCTTAATGCTATACAAGAATCGGCTCAAGAAAGCACTAGACCGAAGCTCACAGATTTGTTTTCTATTGACCAAAACGTTCTGCATGAGAAGAAACTCGGTAAACCATAAGAGATGCACAAAGCGGAAGTGCTGCTTTGCGAATTTGATATGTGATCAAATAGATGACTAAAGAACCTCTTTCCAAACACGTCAGTTTACCTACAAAATTAAATACAACTACAATAAATGCTTCGAATTTGTCTTCCATCGCAATTCAAATCATGTCTGACTTTTACTTACGGGGCCAAAAGGTCGTTAGTGTATCTTTTAAGAAAAAGCACAATTTTACACCTACTCATCCATCGTACATGATTCATTGCAAACGAAGGTGCATACAGAATGTCTTGAAAGTAACATGTTTTTATAGGACTTGTAGATTAATAACAAACGATCACGTTTACTAAATGTGACTGCCTCTTATCCGTGTTGTCATCTTTGCTCACCCAGGAAAAAAAAACTTTTCTTGTTTACTCTTTCTAATAAATCATTAGTATTTTAACACTTGTGGGGAAGAGTTGAACTGTAAATTAACTATTTTAATCCTCTCCCTCCGCTGCTGATAATTTAGAGAAGCCTAGTACACACGCAATGTTAGTACCCTTAAGATTTAGAGCTGTTGACCCCTGTGCTATAACCTGTGTCGAAAGAGGAAGGGAAAAATGCTGAGTAAGGAACTGAAGTCAACTGAGACAAAAGAAGGTGAAAAGGGATCTGGTTACGCATGATCATGACAAAAAAAATTCATGAGAAACGGGCTTTGGAGTAGAAGGTTGCTGTAAGTAGGATACCAGGCAGAAGGACAAGAATTTCCGTGGTCTGTCATAGTTCTGCTTTTTCCTAGGCACCTCTTGAAGACGTGTTAATGACAACATAAGGTTCCTTGCTTTTTCCTTTACTCTACATCCATACTGATGAAATAGCCTAAGATGATAAACTGGGACAAGTGTAGAGTCAGCAAAGAAAATGTAAAAATGCATGGTGGAGATCTTTGATTCAGTCAGTAGACACTTTCCGTTCCTAATGATGCTGTTTGAAAAGATCATTATTGTGGTAATCAATACCCAGTGTTGGAAAACCCTGAAACGGGAGAAAAATCTTCTTAAAGAAATCTCCCTAACTCCTTCAAACTGTCTGCACAGTGCCTAGCCAGCTGGCACCACATCTGAGTAAAAGAGTATGTGTCAAGGCAGACAGAAAGTCCATGTCTGGCCAGTTACCCCCACAATGAACCTCCCTGCTTCCTCACTGCTCATCCATCCAGCTTCAGAGATGTGGCCAGGCTCTGCCCCGGGGGGTGTCGGAAGGCTATTGCACTTTGCTTGCAAACCACTAAAGCTGGAAGACAATTGACTTCTTTCTTTGGAGAGTAGCAATCAATGCAGAATTACATTACATTTGCATATAAAAAAGATCCATAATGTTTGAAATGGATGAAATACAAAAGGAAAAAAAAAACATATGTCCATTCATTCCTTGCTATTTTTATCTATGTACAGATTTCACCCAATTTCTACTGCAGTTCCAAAGCATTTAGAGAAAGAAACAGTATAATATATGTGATATAATAAATATCACAAAACGTTTTTTTTTTGTTTGGCCTGGCAATTGATTAGCAATTTGACCTCAATTGAATTGAATTAGTGATGACTCTTGTGAGACAAAAAAATGTGGTCAGTTTGACTAAAACAAATATTAACATAAAAAGAAGCCAGCCTTTACAAAACAGGCAACCCAAGACATCAGGTTTAAAAATCACCTAAGGTAACAACAAGCCTATTTCAGCCTCTTTTCACACTACATGCTGGGAAAAAAAACGTGCTTGACAACCCAGGTGTCATTCTGGTCTTTAAATCCACCCCTTCTAAACAATTCTTCAGATTGTATAAGCAGGAATGTGTAGATAAAAGGTATGGTTAAAGTTCTCAGTTAATTTTTTTATCACCTGACTACTAAAAATAATACAAAAAAACACTGATGTTACGACTCTTTTAAGAAGCAGGCAGAAGCACGAGGAAACAGGGAGACCCATTAATAGTCTTGACTGGTGCTGACAGGAATGAAAAGAAAAGAAAGGGCCCAGTGATGAACGAAGTCATCTGGTTAAGAAAAAAGACAATAAAGGAACTCCTCAAATGACAAATGTCACACTCTATTGGTTGTGTATTAAGACAAGGTTCTGTATTACATTTTAAGAGTATCATGATGAAACACTCAGTTCATAATGTTAAAAAAAAACATGTTTCATGGTTCCTGAATTAGGCTTTACAGTATGTAATTTATTGTTATTGTTAATGCTAGCTAACAATTATTTACAGTAGGTGTTCTGTGTATGCTAATGTGCATGTTATTTTTTCCATTTTGACCTTATACATCCATGAGTAGAACAGAACAAAGACTTCAAATAAGATGGAAACCATTCAGCCGATCTTGCTTGTTTGATAGTTTGGTAGCTGACTGAATCGAAAACGTCATCCAGCTGTTTCTTATAAGAAACCTCCTCCAGGTACCCGGAATGCCCTTGCTTCACTACTGAGTGTCAAATAGAGCTGTGTGTTGACCTAATCTATATCCCTAAGGATTTTATATACTGTACTTTAATCAAATCTTTTGTCAATCTCCTTAGTTTTTGACAGAAAATATTTTGTTTCTTGATCCTGTCTTTCTATGACAATGCTCCCTCAGATTATTCAACAATCATTCTTGCTGGATTTCTTTGTTGACTCTTTCTGGGGTGATAATGTCCTTATTGTGGTATGCTGACCAACGCTGCAAACAATATTCTAAATGAGCACACACAGCCCCACCCCCTAGACACTGGATAACTCCACCACACTTAAAATCAGGTCCAGAGGAGAATTCTACACAACATGGAGACTAGCGCAGCTCCAGTGTCTGCTCACAGAGTGGTCACAGAGCCACACAGTGTCACTCTATAGACAGCACAGCATTGTGCTACATCTTTAAACCAGGTCCTCTTCTGCAACAGAACTGTTACTGTAGCTTGTCTAAATTTCAGAGGGGGGAGATATTACTGTTGGCGCTGGCTCAGTATTCTCAGCACTGTTACATTTGCCACTCTCCATGTTTGTCATCATGTGGACAGTTTGCACACCATTTCATTGTCAGAATTGGTGATATGGGAAGCACACTGTTGATCAGGAAGAGCAGTGAACCTTAAACAGATCGCTGTGGCACTGTGACAGTAACCTCATCTTGAGCCATGTGTATACATTACCTTGGCTTCCTAAAGCTTTTATTTGGAGGGTTAACCTTTTATGAGGGGCCTTTTCAAAGGTTTTCTGGAAATCTACATATATTCATGACATAAGTTTTGGTGTCACTAACTGACGTTATTGCTTGTTTAAAGAAGAAGACCTTTCTTTTCTTAATCCACGTTGGTCTTAAGTATGCTTTCATTTTGACTAAAACATAAGTTTACTGACTTTACCAGTATAAACAAATCTCAAATTGATTTGCCCTTTGTTCACTGGTCTGTTTCTGTCTCCTTTTTTTGAAATCCTTGAATCTGTGAGTATCACTCTCATTCTAAGTGAGAGTTGAAATATCGTCACTATGGGGCTATGAATAATGAATAAGCCTTGTAAGGCTTCAGTATCAGGTTACTGCATCTTAACATTTCCTAGTACTAAGGGAGTTCCTTCTGTAGCATGGGGTATGCTTTTGACTTATTCTATTGTAAAATCCTGCATGAAATATTAATCTAGTACATTTACTATTAATTTTATCATCCTCTGTTATTCATCTCCTAAGCATACATAATCTAATTTATAAACAGCTCTTCAGCTTTTAAAAATTGATTTCAAATGGAATGCAATAAATGTATTTCAGTGTCCTGTAGCTCCCCGGTAAGGCCAGCAGAGGGAGCAGCATTACTAGATAATCACTTTTAACTGTAAAATAGTTCTGTTAACCTCAGACACTGAAAATACCAAATGATAAATGTATTCTTATTATGTATTTGTTTAGAAGATGTGATTATCCATTTGGGCTTCTATCTATACAATGTGTGAATGAGGATAAATGTAAGATTTCATTCAACTGGAAGCAAGTTTATTGAGAAACACTTAAGATGATTTAATCTCAGGGGTTTATTTAAATACACAAAAAACCTCAAATATGTTAGAAGCAATACATTTTTATATGCTACTAAATAACAGATAATCTTATTGAGGATACTTTAATATTAGTAAATATAAATAGACAATATCATATTTTTTAAACCGTATTTCTAACTGGGAAGCTCCTTCTGGGTTTCTGCACAAACATGGTTCATGGTTCAGTAGGTTTTTGCAACAATAATCACTGAATGAATCATACGTTCGACCAATTCAGGAGGAGTTTCAGGAAGAATTGTAACAGTCTGATGGCTGTCAATCTGACGACTGTTTTACTTTTGGCTTCAGCAGCGGTCACAGCTTGGTATTCTAGACATGGCCGGTCAACAGACTTGTAACTTCGAAATTCAGATGAGAGACCCCCCTTTTTTTTAAAAAAAACAACAAATTCTGGTGGCCATATCCCCCCTGTGGATAATGACAGCCAGAACAGCTGTGTCAGTAGCTCAACTTGCTGTGACAAAGCAAACAAATGTTAGTGTTTTCTACTATCATCCTAATCATTGGTGGAAGGGGTGTCACGGAAAGGTGACCTCTAAATACAGGTAAGATTTTTGCATTTGCGGCCGACTACACTAACGAGCAATTTTCAAGAATGCTAGGACCCCTGTTCCCTTCAACAGGATCCTTTTATCATCCACAAACACCAGTGCACCTACAGACCAGCAATTGACACTGGTATATGTGTAAGTGCCCTTTTATTCTCTAGCATTTACATTTAACACTGTTTACTCAGCACACAGGGTCCCTGACAGAAAACCAAATCTCTGAAGGACACACATGCCACACAAGGCCAGCACAAAGACCCCATGGACCCCAGTAACCAAACCCAGTGTCCCAGAGGAAAGGTCCAGAAGCTTTGGTCTCTGTGTAGTTCCTTCTGTGGTTCTTAGGCACCTTCTCCGGTCCTGCCTGTCCTGAGCAATGTGGTTCCTCTTGTCCTTTCCGACCTTGATTTCTCAGAGCTCAGCGTCAGGTGTGAGTGTGAGTGTGTGTGTGTGTGGGGGGGTATTGATGCCAGAAACATCCCCAGCTGCTCCCTTCAGTGGCCCTGGTGTCCATGTCCTCTCCTGGACCCATCAATCTGCTGGAATCTGTCTCGCAATCCTTCCTTCTCCAACGTTCCCCTGAGTTCTCTTGACTGAGGTGCTTGAAGGCCTCCTTAACCAGGGCTCAGGACTCATTCTCTAGGAGTGGGGGTGGGGGGTGGGAGTGCCTTTCATGAGTGAGTAGACCTCAGTGTTCAGAGCATGTTGAGGAACTGGCTGAAGCCCCCTGTTCCAGAGCCTCACTCTCCCATCAAAGCACAGTTAAACCTGTATCAGGACTGTGTGGTAATTGCACAACATTAATCAGTGAGAGGCAGTTTAAGGTACAAGATGCAAACACCCGAAGAAGGCTCCACAGCCGAAACGTTGTTTCCCTTTTTTCTCTTTTCAGCATGGAATAAACCTTTACCTGTTCCAAGATGCAAACTGCATCAGCACTGAAAGTGGCACTGGCCATTCGATGCAATATAAAACCTATACATGTCTGGCTGCAGAGGGCGCTCCTTCTCTGTCCTGTCCCTAGTTTCCTGCCTGCTGTCTTTCTGGTCCCTCTCTTTCCCTTGGGCTATATATTTCCGGGTCTTTCACTCTGTCCTGGCTCAGCATTGACGTTCGGATGTCCTGAGACACGCTTAGCACCAGGTCGCCCCACGTCCGCTACCTGAGGGCATAGGTTTCTATACGGCACTCCTGAACTCTTTGCACTATCGAGCCCTGGCTTTTTTCCTGTCTCGCCGCTACGCATATGGGTCTTTTTTCGCTCTCCTGCCTCTCCACGTTTAGTCCACGTTTAGTACTTTTGGAGGTCCGTGACAATACAGTCCCAAACACCTTTCGTCCCACACCTGTTCTTTTTCATTCAGTGTGACAGAGACGTCTATGTTAACCTGTTTGAACACTTACCTGCACTCGTTAAAACCAGTTTAAACTAATACTTCGTCTGTGGTGACCAACATGTCATTTCCAAGTTACAGTATATTCTATGCTCTGTCTTCCAACATTTCTCCAGGATGTCACACAGTCAAACTGATTATTACTTTATAACCATAGTGAGAGCTATAGAGCTTATAGACACTTAAATACTGCATGGGACATATGCGATATCCGCTTCCCTTTTTAAAGAGAAAAACTGAAAAGGTCAGCCTATAGCGTAAAGTGAAGGATTTTAAAGGTCACACTGGCGAAGGGTTGAGAAATCCATTATTCAATTTATCCGGGCTCTTTGACCTAAGAAGAAACATTGTAATTAACTTTTGTTAACTATGCACGGTGCAACAATGACGTAAACACATTTTGGAATAGGACAATTGTAGCTATCAAATGACCTAAAAAGATCACAAATTTGACCCCCTTAGACAACGCACGGAGTCTTGTTATGCCGTCGTGGTCGATACTTCTGCCTGACATTTGCTTTGATGTGACAAAACCCCGTACTGCCATCACAGCGGTGGTAGTTTCGTAGGTCAAAACACAGCGAGTCCAGCTTTTACTGTATAGCGGTATTAACAAGCCACCGTCCACATGCACAGCGACATCCCCGTTCAGGAACACTGCCATGCCAAATTTCCAAAAATACATTCACAAATGTTTCTGAAAGCACACGGATTTTCAAAACGGAATCTCAAAACAATGAAAACAACTCTGCGATGAACACTCCCTGCACTTAAAAAAAACAAACAATATTAGCTTGATTAATTTAGCACGTTTCCTTTTTGTCCTGTTAGGGGGAGGAGGAAGTTACATTAGGGGTTAGTGGAATGATCGTTTCTATACCCCCCAAAATGACACGCTCTATTAAAATATTAATACAATGAGCCCACACTGGCCCACAGCAATTAAAACTGCTGCCCTGGGTGGGGACGTTTCTTCGACAGCTGCCAAACACTTTTAAGGCATCGGTATAGAATGCTCTGTAGCGCGATTATTTATTGTCTCTCGTTGCTTTTGTGCGCAGTCAAGGCTGGTATGTGGAAGAGCAAGAAATGCTCACAGCGCAGAGCACCTGGAATGCCCAAGCACGTTCAGAAGAGGAGCAGTCGGCCGCGACTCGTGCACGGTGATCCGTGTCGCGCGCCTCGGTTGGTCATAGGCAAATGAAATAAGCAGCCCAGCTCTGTAAGATGCATCAGAGCTAAGGAGCCAAGGGAGGTTAGACAGCTGAAGCGTTTTCTCGTCTTCCTCGCTTCCCGTCTAAGGATATCTTATTTTTCCAACTACAGAAGAAGCGTGATTACATCCTCGGATGAGATATTCCGAAAACTTCTTCCCTCGGTAAGAAGCCGAATGCATGCGATTCTCTATACCCTAAGATTTAATGTGCGCGCTCCATCTGTGCAAGAATGTTGCTTATACTAAAGCAGCCCGGAGACGGAGGTTGAGCTCAAAGCACCGAGAAGCACAAGCACCTCTTAAGCAATGAGGACAGCCGCCGTGGAAGCAGTGAAACCGTATCCTTACACTGTATATCAAGCCACGGCGAGTGTGCTTCATTATGGGCGTACTGTTATGAAGCCAAATGTCTTCAATTTCTGAATGCCGAGAGGCGGAGAAAGTCACTGACAAAACTATGGGCATTAGCGGAAAGATATCAATAAAATATAGAACGTGCTGGATGGATACTTCATAAGATGCTTTTGTTTATTTGTTGGGGATTTATACAATCAAACTGTCTCTAAGTATCATAAAATCAATATACATAAATTCATGTAAGTAACTGATATCTCGACTATAAACGACATCTTCATTTCTTCCCGTATTTAGGAAGCTGAATGATATGTTGAATATGTATATTTTTCCACGTACTTCTCGTGAAAGCTCTAGACAAAACGATAATGAACTTTTGTTATAGAAAAGGCTTATATGTGGTACTAAGACCCGTGTTGTGGTTTAATTACACTTCAGTCTTCATCCAAAGCAATGGTATGGTAAAGTACGGTGTTTTGTTTTTTCAATTAACGACAATTAGCCGATTTTCAACTATTCATGCTATCTTAAAGTCGCGAGGAAATGATATAGATAAATATGTTGTTATTTGCGCTATCGTGTGAAATGTTACAAAGTAGCCTTTTAAAATTGCTACAATGTTAACGATCAGTAAGAAACTCACGGGAAAACTAAAGAATTGTTATTATGAGAGCGTGGTTTTACGTTACTTTCATTTGTATTTTTAATTACACATATTTATTATATGAGAGAAATAAAAAAATAAGTATAATTTTCCGATTTAAGATCAATTTAAGCGTGACTTATAGTGATATTGTGAGCCTTTCAGAAAGTAACACACGAATGCATCTTATAGCAACAGAGAAGCAGAATGCAAAAACGTAAACGAATAAAGTTAAAATTAGTATCTGCGCAAATCAGATGTAGGAGCCCCTAAAATGCAATAAAATGTAAGGGAATAACAGTTCCCATTACCGTTAGACTGGAAACAGAATAAACAAGCAGGCAAAAAAAAAATCAACAGTTGATGCCCTTGATAGGACGTCACCTGGGCAACGAGTTCAGCACCATGGAGAGAGACCGCCTGTGCTGCAGTGTGTGGTAAAGACCGGGGTCTTTCACTGGGCTCTGTCCTCCCGGTCCACGTGGATGGATGTCGGCATGCCTTTTATAAAAGGGCCCATCATTCTTTCAGATGTGGCCGCAGTTGCACGTTTCATGTTTCCTGGGCATGCTGTTTTCTGACTCTTGTCAAGTCAGGTTAATAACAACAAATCAGATTTTGAATAGTTGACTCCAGCACGTAGAGACACAGGAATGATGATGTTTAAAAATAAAAACAAGCGCAGCCATGCACATATTGCTGCTTTGTTAAACACACATACAGGAGTACTGGGATAAAGGTCAACGTTAATGAACATATGACAGATACTAGATTCAGTGGGGTGTCATGGCCGCACTGCGGTACAGCGTAGCTGCCTTGCAGCACTGTGGCCCTGGGTTCAATTCCTGGGGTACTGTCTGTGTGGAGCTTCTGTGTTCTGCCTGTATTTCTGTGGGTTTCTTCTGGGTGCTCTGGTTTGCTCCCACAGTCCAAAGACATAGGGGTAGGTTAATGGGCTTCATGGAAAATTAGCCTGAGTGTGTTTGTGCCCTGTGATGGAGTCCTGTTCAGGGTGTACTCTGCCTTGCACCTGTTGCTTGCTGAAATAGGCTCTAGCCCCCCTGTGACCTGGAAGTGGAAGAAGTGGTTAGAAATTGGATGGATCGACACACAAGGGTCCTGTCCTACAAACAATCCAAGCTGATAGTGGGATTTCATAAAGTCAGTCACAATTAAGAAAATATAAGAAAATGTTTTCCAATGAGAAGGGCCGTTTAGGAAACCTATCTTATTAGGTGTTTTGTAGATAATTTATCCGAGGAGCACATCCTGTCAGTTCTTGAAAGAAGCTGGGATATCGTCTTTAATTGCGTGGCTGGGTAGCTTGTTCCAGAGAGTGGATTATTAATTAACTTAAGAGAGCGCATAAGGAAAAGACATGGAGTAGGAAAGACAAAAAAAAACATATGCCAGCATTAGAGAATATGTGGTCTCCTGTGACTGAGTAACTGAGATTTTGGTACGGGATTCTAGTGTAGTGAGATGGATCTGGCTGTGCAAGTCCAGTCTGGGAATTTCACACAGTAAGAATATTATATTGATAATATTTTTGATGTGTTTGTTCTCACATTGTCTGCTGAAATAAGGTTGAAGATTTTTCTTCATTCGTACCATGTTTTGGTACAATGGTGAATCCTAGTGATCCCATGTACAGTCTAATGACCACTGCTAGTCTTTCATGAGTATTTGGTGACCAGATTACAAGACCCTATTAAATTCTGGTTTAAATAATAGCATTCTGGAATATGCAAGATGCTCAGTTTAAAAGCAGCAGCATTTTACCATAACCATATTTGTTGTTTTAATTGATTTACCAATCTGTTGAAATACTCTTTGCAGTTGAAATAATGTTCTAGAATGAGACCAAGATACAGTATTTAAGGTAGCTGTAGTAATGGGTGTGTGGTTGATGATTATGGGTTCAGAGGTGATAAAGACTAATATGTAGCTCTGCAATACTGTGTATGTATTCATTTTGTTTATATAAATGTGCTCAGGGGTGGGTTCTCGATCTTTGTGGCTTTCTAAGGGAAACAAGAAGCTTTCAAATGCCTCAAAGTGCTTATAGAGCCAAAATGGATGAATCTACAAAACCAACAGTATTTCCCCCTCATGGACATGATGCTGCAGCAGTTATTTAGTTGTTCAAATATATCATCCTGGTGTGTTGTTTAGGAATAAAATAATCTTATTTGCTGACAGATTAAGTTAACATATTAACCCCCTCACTTTGCTAAAAACAGCAACAGCCCACTGACTGCTGTTAGTGCTGCTACCACCGAGCGCAGTAACAGTCGAGTTTTCCCATTGCCCTTTCTCACTTGTGGCCTAAATGTCAGACTATTACAGCAGCCTCTCTGCATCTGGAATTTCTGTAAAGCAGAGGGAAAAACAGGCATTTCCTGTTGAGTACGTGGGTGCTCTGTTTTGTGCTCTGTATTGTGCAACGTTAAGAAAATTATGATGTGCTCTTTGAGTTATGTTATATACCATATACTGTAGACTGCACTACCTGAATAAGATCAGTATTGATATGTCAAATGCTATGTTTCGATCACATTAATTTTTTCTGTGTTCAGTGAAGCAAAACAGAAAATGGAATTGTAGTAATAGGTTGGTAAATCAAAATAATAAACTTTGTGAATATAACATTACTTTTGTTTAGAAAAGTAGTACGGAAAATTCGGTGAAGTTTCATTTGGCACTGCCTGTACCAATATTATTGAATTCTGATCTCAGTGAAGAGAGTTTATGTCTTCATGATAGAAAAGTTTTATTACATTACAGGATGAGGTTCTTTTGATGTCCTACAAGGAACTCTAAATTGGATCCTGACTGTAATAATTAAAATTGCTGCTGATCTAGTCACACTTCAGAGGAATTTTATTTATAATGGCGAGAAAAATGGAAAGCTCTCAATTAACTTTGATGTCCACGACTGCATGAATCTTTAATAGAAAATGAAAAACTGAGGCAACTGTTTAACTGAAAAAAAATTAATTTGTTTCCAAGGCAGTTTTCCCATTTTTGATACTGTCATGTGGGCTGAATAAAAGCTTTTAGTGATAGCTACAGACTGAAATATTGACAGCAGAAAGACAACACAATGCTGCCAAAGTCTCTCCAGTTAACCTAAGTCACACCTTATTGCTGGATAGACAGTGTTTAATGTTTGCAGGGTTTTTGTTTTCACAGTAGAATGTGCTTTGCAATACACATATGAATGTTGTTTTTTCATCAATTCCCATTGCACAAACTAATTTGTGTTCATAAATATTTCTGTTGAATTAGTTGAAAAACCCACTATGTCTGTGATGTACAACATCTGTGCACATTTGCTAAAATGGTTCTTCTTTATGTGCTTTACAATATTAAGTTCTACATTCAACACGAACAGCTTGTCTTCCTACTGTAGGTTACCTGTTTCAGGAGGGATTATAGGCATCAGTTGATTTGTTTTTTATTCTCAGAGAAGTTTATTTCTGAAGAACCAAAAAAAAAAACAGTAGCTGCTAGTTAGAATGTAATGTCCTAAAAATGGTCCCCATACAAACATATAATATCTAGATTGTAGGGGCAGACTTAGATATGTAACTTGTTCATAATTTCTTATGCATTCATTTTTTCTTGAAATTTTCTTAGTTTAGGCTAAGAAATGTTGCATGTTAAGCAAATCCCTATTACTGGGGTAATTTTGAAGACAACTAATGTTTTTGTTTGTCAAAACATTGAAGAAAACAAGCAAACAAACAACAACAGTAGATTTGCTAATTACAGAAGCTTTTGTTCTCCTAATCAAACATATATTCATGGAGAATATTTTTAATTGAAAAAAAAACATTTTTCTTTGTTTTCTAGTCTGTGATGTATAAAGAGTATTTCAGTCTGAAAGATTCTGTATTTCAATATACATTGAGAAGTCCTTTTTAAAGTTACCAAAACAGTAATACTTGTGAAGAGAGAAATATACAGAAAAAATGCAACAATAACTGTGTGTTGAAAATGGCCCTTTTCCTGGTGCCTCTGATACAGTTTCTCAGAAGCAGGTCTCCACCTCCTCTGTCATTATAAGGAAATGGAGAAAGAGGAGAAGAAGAAGCATGCATCCAGGATGAGTATGCTAAGGCGTGAAGAAATAGTGAGTTTCTCAGCTTGAGTATATTGC